CACATTCTGTTAATTTTCTCCGAAGTAGGCAGCACCGCAGGTTTAAGAAAGGCGATTCTCTATCCCGGGATATGCTCTAAGGGTGGAATTATTTTCATATGCAGAATTACCATTGTGTTTCTTCGAGATTAGCGAGTTAGCAGTAAGAAATCCGAAGGATAATGATAGGTCAAAATTGTAGTTTAAATTTAAGCTTGAAAATGGATAACAGTAACTTCATTGATAAAACTGGTTTGCTGTTATTTAGCTTAATACGGCCATTCTGGTACCCTGCATATGATACACTCACAAGATTAATTCATAACAAGCTTTAAATCAACATGCTATTCTAAAAAAAAGTAAAATAAGGAACTTTTAAAAGCGGCAACTCCCTATGATGGTTTATTATCTGACCACTCGGATTTTGTGGAGTGACGCTGATCTTCGATAAAAAACCACGATTTAAATAAAAAAAGCGTACTTTACCGATAGGGAGTGATTCTCAAACACTATTATCAAACATTATTGTTACATACAGAATAAATTTACATTTTCAGAATGTCGTTTTTCAATGCACATTATTTTTTTCTAATGAAGTTAATATAAAAACGCCCCATCTTTAATTATAATCAGTTCTTTTGCTACTTGTGTTTCAAAAGCCAGTTCACTTTGTTTGCAAAGCTTCTTCAAATTCGGTTTACATTTGCCTGGTTATCTCTGACACGACATCTGTTTCGTAATTTTTTAAAATATTCTAGAAGTTCGAAACATCAGAATAAAAGAATGTCTTGCGTAATGCCTTAAACAAATTGCATTGAAAGCAAATGAGGAGATCTATGACGCTGACGTGTATAGCAAAGTGACATTCCGTAAATATCTATAGTAACAGTATGATCAAAAACTGCTCTCCTTTTAGAATAGTTTGAAAATCCATAAGCTATTGTTCGTTTTACTGACGAATTCTATCACCTTCACATCGCGTTGTAAGTGAAATCGATTAATTTCAAACAACCAACCCGGTTGTACTGAAGGCGTTCATATTTGAACCTGAAAAAGTCTTGCACAATTGTTCTAAGAAATTTCGGCGTTTTGAACTGAGGTAGTCATTTGCTTAGAGATCCTTGCTGCGAACATTCGCGCAGGAGATGCGAAACTTGATTCGGCTGCGGGTAGCACCGAATTACTTTAATATTATATGAAACAATATTAGCCGTGTC